ATGCTAGGTATCTTGGCAAAACAAAACAAAACAAAAGATCATAGTCCCTCGATGACGCTAGACAAGTTGCCTAAAACAAATGATCTTAAGTCCCTCAAAACTTGCTAATATACTTGGCAATATTGTTATCATGGTCATAGGATGAACCACGCCCGTCCCGTTTAACATCCAAAGATAGGGTTATCTACCAAATCAATGGTAGGTTAACAATGTCAAAGGAGTAAAAATGTACAAGAAAGACTTTTGAGTAGGGTAGAATGCTTCTAGTTACTTGATCTCTTTCAAACCATCCTTGCTATTTTCAAATACACACACACATTTCAAAACAATTTCCAAACAACTTTCAAAACATTGAAACATTTTTCAAAAGACAAACATCTTTGTATACATTCTTACAAACAAGAATCATTACAAAGATTGCCTAAACAAAGGCCTCTTTTCAAAATACTTTCAAAACCACACAAAGCACCATTTCAAACAATTGCAAAAGCAAAGCAAGTGATCTAAAACAAGTAACTAAGAGCCCATGGAAAACCATGGATGAAAAGGGTGCTAGCACCTTCCCTTTTCATAATCTACCCCCCGAACCCAAAAACAATCTCAAAGGTCTTTCCTGTGCTTTTTTACCTTTCCTTTTGGATAAAAGAAAAGTCGGTGGCGACTCTTGCTAAACCGCAACATTTGCAAACACAAACGCAAAACCTCAAGTCAGTTCTCCCACCGCATCGCAGTGATCAACAAAGTGGTTAAATAATCAAAGGACGTTTCTATATGAATTAAATGCACAGTCAAAAAATTTAACAAATTGCTTAATTTTCAATGAAATTAATGGTGAAGCTTATTAAGACAATTTATTGAACACTTAGTGTGCACATTGATTTTCCATAATTTCCTTTGAACTTTGTTGGTATTAAAATTTATTACAATCAAAGAGATTGTAAGATCATCAACAAAGTGATTTAAACACCAAAGGATCTTTCTATTCTAATCAATTTTCATAATCAAACGTTTAATAAATTGCTAATGAAATTGTAAAGAGATAAACAAAGATAGAGAGACAGAGAGAGATTGACACGGGGATTTATTTAGGAAGTTCACCAATTATCCTTGCTATGTCTAATCTCCCCCTAATTGAATTTTGTAATTGAGATAATTTCTTACTTATTGCAAAAGTATTCTTTACAAGAGAAGTGTTCCAAGATCAACCCTTACAAGCCCTAACTGTTTGTTATTGATTTACCCATTCTCTTCTTTTGATCTTCATCAAGAACAAGAACACAATAGATTGCCAATTAATTTAAAGAATCTTGCTACTCTTTTACATACTTTATCTCCAAAGCTTTCGTGCATGATTAATTACAACTATTGCACCCCAACAAACCAATCTGATCCACCGTCTCGCGCTACTAAGTTGAAGGAAATATTCTTCAATGTTCACTCCACCGAATCTAAATTGCAAATTGTTGTAACCCAAGATATACCAATTTGACTCACCGTCTCGCGCTACTAGGCTTGCAAGAACCACTTGTTTTTCAAGGTCTTCACTCGATTGAATCCAAATTGCGTAGCCTTGTCCAAAACCTTCAAATCACCGTGATCTTGAAGGAAAACCCTAGTTCGGTTTTCTTATTGAAGTAACCCCCAAATCCACAATGATCTTGGAGGACAAACACTCGATTTTTTTGGATGAAACCCCCTTGATTCTCAAGCCGATCTTAGGTTATAACCAATTTAAATTGAACATTATCAACCGAGTCTAGATGGCACCCAAATAATGAATGATTATGTGTACTTTGTTTTTGTGTATGCATAGGGTCAAGGTTGAAGATGAAGAGAAATCAAGTATGTGTTTATAGTTTCACCAAGTTGAAAATAATGCATGTATGGAGTATATATTAGTGTGAGACTTTTAGGAAAAAAGAAAACCTAAAAAAATGAAAAGAAAACTGATTTTTGAGATTTGGTTCAGTATGTGTCGATAAATGTAAGTCATGTGTCGACACATAATGGTAGACATGGACACATATGCCGGCATAAAATGACAGATGAGTCGACACGAAGAAATAGAAGCTACAAAAAACAATAGCACATGTGCCGACACGAAACTCGTATGTGTCGACACATAGAGTTATTTGTGAGGCATGTGTCGACACGAAGCAAATGAGGAGTCGATACGTACTTACAAAGGCTTACAAGCTTTAAAGCAACAACACATGTTCCGACACGAAACATGTATATGTCGACACATAAGCTGCATGTGTCAAAACGTAGACAACATGTGTCCACACATAGGTTGATTTTATGTGTAGAAACTGATTTTTAATGCATGATACCAAATGACAACTATTCCAAACTTGTTCTAGATGCTTTCTAGGATTCCTAATGACTTCTAATGCAATGGTGCACACAAATACTCAGAGATTTCATTCAATATACAGAAAATCTAAATCAATCCTAGTTTTGACATCATGCAAAACATCTAAAAGAGGCCAATGCATTCACAATTTCCAGTTGATTTGACGCGGAAGGGTCCACTTCTAGAGCTCAAGTGTCTTCGGATTCATTTCATGGAGAAATGTGTCACCTCATGCTGCCCTAGAAGTCCCACAAGTCCAAGTTGATGCACATGCTGCTGATGTTGTCGTTCATGATGTTGTTCTTTAGGTTTTTGGAGGAGCCCCCTATGACACTTCATTATAGCCTCTATATGTAAACCAACGTGCTAGGCACATGGGAGATGATAGGTAAAATAAATCTGTATTTATTATTTGAAACATATGTGTTATAATATTTGAACTTTTTGACAATGATGTTTTTTTGTAGTATTGTGATGCTTTAAATGCATAAAACACAGTAGGAAGATTGCAAAGTTGCAACATCTTGAGGAGAAATGGTTTCATGATGGCATGCAACTATCTGAGCTACAACATTTATGCATGACTGATTATAATATTATTAACCATGATATGTTGTCAGTTTTTGTGGAGAGATGACACTGAGAAAAATTGCATTTTCATCTTCTAATTGGTGAGATGTCCAAGACACTGAATGATGTTTCATTCCTGCTATATCTTCTAATCAAGGGACGATTATTAAACCAGTCAAGAATCATCAAATCGGGTGCACTGGACATGATGGTTCAATACTTGGGAGTTGGTCTAGATGATGTCCAAAAGAAGATGGGTGACATCAGAGAGCTAGTGGTATGTTTGGGGTACGTATGAAAGTATATTTCTGAATTTTGGAAGGACAAGTTTGAGTTTTAAAAAGGTGGCTCTTTATCACTAAGTGTGGGAAGAGCAACACCCTAGAATTTTTTTTTAATTGAGCCAATAGCATCAATAACTAATATCATGTGTGATCCATTTGTTCGACCGACACAACTTTACGTGTTTTGGTTTGAATTTGAGCGTTGACTTGATATTATTAATATCTTTCGGCACTAAAAACTTTACTTTTTTTTAAATAAAATTAAATTCAAAATTGACACGTTATCCTCTCTGAAAAATCTGCTATGACTTAACTCAATAACAACCGCCACTTTTAATTGAACATGTTATAAAAGTTGAATAGATAGATTTAAATGACCCTCCACCTCCCAAATCTCTCCCATTTTTCATCTGATAGTTTGATGCCTTTTGATGACATAAACCGGTTTTCAACTTTTCAAAATTAAAAATTAACCTTAAGAGTATAATACTAACGTTTGTGTATACAGTAGTGATTAAATATTCTCGTAAAATATAGTAATGATATATTATTTATTTTATCCTATAATAAATTATCTTATAATAAATTTCAGACTCCTAAGTCATGTGTAAACCTGAAGTTAATCATCACTTCAATGTATACTGATTTCAAATTCTATTCGAAGACATACTAACATCAAATGGAAGACATAATATTACTTATTTTTTATTTAACGAATTTATGAATTATAATACTTGAACAAATTCCAGAACAACGTGCACTTGTCTAATTATGTGCTTATTTTACTAATTATTATTCTAAAGTGGATTTCTTCAAACAAAAAGAGAGAGGAAGAATATATAAGTGGACGATAATGAGGAAAAAAACAGGAGAAAGAACGTTACATAAAAAGTGACCTAATAACATGTCTTTGTATCAAGAGTTCTGATTTGTCTTTAGTTTTGGCACCTCTTGAAAAAACTCACTTATTAGTATAATTAACATTAATATACTATAGGATAATAATTAATATGTGCGTTATTACGTATAGTATGGGAATGAAGGCAACGGGAAAATCAAATTAGTTGTGGTAAAGTTAATTTGGATTTTGTTTTAATTTCTTGAAAACAAATTCGACAAGAGTAGGTCGGCTAGTACACCCTTTTTAACCTATTTGCGACCATGTGTTTTAATTAAGTTATAATTAACATAATCATTATTACTAAACAACAAATAAAGCTTGTATTAAATAAAGGATCAAGAAATTGTCAAATTAAGTTTGTCCAAAAATGTGTATCTGGAGTCATGCCATCGACACCTTATTCTTCGATATTCTAAATACGCGAAAATACCTACAAAAAGACATTAAAACTATCAAACGATACATAAATGAATCATAAATATAATTATACACTAAGTATACATATATTTACACAAAAAATCGAGTTTATTCAACCGAAATTAACAACAAAGAGTCGATAAGTACAACAAAAAATATATACAAAAATAACTACAATTTATATTTATCAAAATCGCACACTCTAGACAAGTTGAAGATAGTCATTTACTCTAGATACTTTAAGATATATATTTTTGTAGTATCCAAACACATCCTAATATTTGGTTTTGTCTTCCACTATAAATAAGGTTTCAAGATTCTCAATCTACAACCTCTCTTACATGATGTCTTTCTACTCTATATCATGTCTCAAAACATAATATTTTTTCTTACATAAGTCACACCACATCATAACCTAGTTATATCTTTCATTTTTCACTCCACTCAAAAACTTCAAGAAATTAACAAACACATGCACGTCCACATGAAAGCTGAGTTAAAAGCCACATCTATTTCCTTTCAAAACCCTTCACTCTTCAACACAATCACTTCCCCTCCACCACTTTCTCAACCAGAAGCACTTAAAGGCTATCTTGGAAGCCTAGATGGAACATGTATCGAAAAACTTTTACTCCATTGTGCAAGTGCTTTGGAAAGCAACGACATAACCCTAGCTCAACAAGTTATGTGGGTCCTAAACAACGTTGCTTCACCGTTAGGTGACACTAACCAAAGACTAACCTCATGGTTTCTAAGAGCTCTAATCTCTAGAGCTTCAAGAATTTGTCCTACTTCAATGAATTTCAAAGGAAGTAACATTATTCAAAGAAGGTTGATGTCGGTTACCGAACTCGCCGGGTATGTTGATCTTATTCCTTGGCATAGGTTTGGATTTTGTGCTTCAAACAATGAAATTTTCAAAGCAATAAAGGGATTCGAAAAGGTGCATATTTTAGATTTTAGCATAACACCTTGTATGCAATGGCCTACTTTTATAGATTCTTTGGCTAAATTACAAGAAGGTCCTCCTTCACTTAGAATCACAGTTCCATCTTTTAGGCCAATGGTTCCTCCTTTAGTTAATATATCAATACATGAAGTTGGTCAACGTTTAGGTAATTTTGCAAAATTTAAGGATGTCCCTTTCGAGTTTAATGTTATTGGAGATAATAATGTTTCGAATTTGATGACATCCGAAGAATTGAGGAATATTGAATCAACTAGCTTTGATTTTGAGTCAATGTTGAGTCTCTTGAATCCTAGTATGTTGAACCTTAGGGAAGATGAAGCTTTGGTTATAAATTGTCAAAATTGGCTACGTTATTTGTCGGACGATAGAAAAGGTCAAAACATTTCGATTCGAGACGTTTTTATGAATTTAGTTAAAGGACTTAACCCTCAAATTATGCTATTGGTTGATGAGGATTGTGATCTTAGTTCATCAAGTTTAACATCAAGAATTACAGCTTCTTTTAACCATTTATGGATACTCTTTGATGCGTTGGACACTTTTTTGCCTAAAGATAGTATTCAAAGGACTGAGTTTGAATCTGACATAGGGCAGAAAATTGAAAACATTATAAGCTTTGAAGGGCATCAAAGGATTGAGAGATTGGAGTCGGGGATGCAAATGTCACAAAGAATGAAAAATGTTGGTTACTTTAGTGTTCCATTTTGTGATGAAACTGTTGTTGAAGTTAAGAGTTTGCTTGATGAACATGCTAGTGGATGGGGAATGAAAAGAGAAGAAAATATGTTGGTTCTTACATGGAAAGGAAATAGTTGTGTGTTTGGGACCGCTTGGGTCCCTAGTGAAATGAGTTTAGATATGTAGTCGCACAATCATTAGGTCTTAATCGTCTGATCTGAATAACTTGTATTTTAAACTTATTAGGTCTGATCAAAATCAAACTGATTAGACTGACTTCCTTTACGAATTTAGTAGAAAATTTGAATCCCTTAGGTGATTTTTCTTCAATGGTCCAAGGAGGGACAAATGGAATTTCATCATTTTGTGGAAAAAAAGGAAAAACAGCTCTGCATTTTTCAGAATTATTTTCATTTTCATGTGACAAATTTGTAAAGAAGATCTAAAAATTGATGGATCACATGAAAGGCAAAAAGAAAGAAAAAAAAAGTACATTGTCCTATGTATGAGAAAATGATGTCTTCTAGCAATGTTTTTCCCTTTTATGCAGCTTTATTTTACTTTCTCTACTTATAGCTTTTGGTATACATACAAAAGTTTGTAAGAAAATATCTTATCTTATTATGTATTACCAAATTTTAATAATATAACTCTTAAGATTAGCAACATGTGTATGAAAACATGTGCATAAACATATATACTAAACACATTTTAATTCTTTAAGTAGTTCAAATATTTTTGGTTGGTTGTTACAGTTTTATAGATCTGAGTACAAATAAAAGAAATGGACCACTGAAAAATTGAATTCAATGAATAGTCATATTCAATGAATAGTACTATGGATGAAAAGGCCAAACTACAATAATACTTTGGTGTATATAATAAGAGTGATAATGATAAGTCATAGAATATTGCATGTTTGCAATTTAATTTACATACCCATTTGCACCAGTAAAGGGGTCCATATTCAGAGGTCCCTCCTTTTGTGAATTTTGTTTTGTGTATAAACAAGATAAGACAATCAATTTTGACTTTGAAAACTATAAAATTAAAATAAGAAAAATATAAAAAAATTCCGACCTACCGGATTCGAACCAGTGACCTAAGGATTACTGGATTTACCACTACAGTCCTCCGCTCTACCAACTGAGCTAAGGTCGGTTGCATTAAGTTTTTGACATCTTAATTTATTATTTCTGTTTATGACAAAAATAAGATACGTTTTGGTTACAACACAGTGAAGCTTTTTACTTCTGAGAATTTAAGTTGGTTGAACATGTGTCTATTACTTATGATCCTTTTCTATGGAAAATAAAATATCTCTAACAAAGTTATTATATGAATCTCTGATAATTTATGTCATTATGTTTTAAAATAAGAAATTAAGTTAAGCTAAGAATTCAACACACATTAAAAAATGATTATGGTTTTGACACTAGCAAGGACAAAATTAAATTAATGAGTTATGACAAAACATGATATTTGTTTTTAAGTTGATTAATAAATTTTTTTAATGATGTGAGAGTTAGAGACATACTCCCTCCGGTCTTATATGTAAGCAAAAAAAAAAAAACTCACCCTTTAAGTTTAATTATTGGTCCTTTTGTTTCTATCGGTGCATCTATAATGCAACTAATAAATATTCACTTTTAAACTCTTAAACTTTCTCACCCACATACTCTCATTGCAACCAATAAACTCCCACCTTAAAAATGTAGTAAAATTTTAAGTTTTCATATAAAACTGTCCCGCCTGAAAAGTTTGCCAAAATTTTCATACTCCAAAATACATTCCCGCCTTGTACTATAAAGTTGAGCTCTATAAATACTAAAGCTTATTTTTCCTGTATCATTGTCATTTGGTTTTAATAAAAATGCCTCTTAATATTGATCTAAACTCTCCATATGTTGATCATGAAATGATGGAATGCAACATAGCACCTTCCATTAATCTAAATGATCCTTCTTCAAGTAATGATAATGAAGTTGAACATGGATTTCCTAACCATGATGAAGACATTGATGTAGATGCTCTCTATTCAAATGAAGTTTATGTCATGGAAGAAGGTAATATGTTCTTTCATGTTGGATAACCATTAAACAACTTAATTAATTATTTTTACTTTCAATTTTGTTTTATAAAGTTGCAGAGAGTGAATTTAATCCAAATGAAGATGATAGAGAGGAGACTGAATTTAATCAATATGAAGATGGATTTAGTAAGCAATACTGTAATCAATTTATTTTAAACATTTTGTTTATATCATTAATTTTGGTTTGTTTATATCATTACTTTTGGTTTGTTTATTACTGTGTCATCATACTTTTTCTATTCACTTTTTTATGATAAACATAAGACATGCATAAACACTTAGTAACAACATGCAGTAACATTTTTTCTCATTATATCCAGTTTTTTACATGCAGTGTCAACCATGATTCAACATGAGACACAAACTGTTAAGAAAAAAAGATCATTCTTGAACAATGACCAGCGGAAAATAATTTCCCAATTATTGATAAAGAATAGTTATGGTGAAAAACTGGAATCCGGAATTGTTATATGGTTGGCATCCAAATACTCGGTATCCATCTACGTTATTTATCGCATTTGGAAGCAAGTATGTCAAACAAGTGACGCGTCTCATAAAAGAACAAAAAATTATGGTCGAAAAAGAGTTACGGTAGATATTGAAAAAGTGCGGGATATTCCGTTAGCTAAACGTAGCACTCTTCAGAGCCTCGCATTTGTCTTGGGCATTAGCAAAACAGCATTGTTAAAGTTTGTAAAAGATGGGACTTTGCGTCGGCATTCAAATGCTCTAAAGCCACACATGAAAGATAGTAATATGAAAGATCGTCTTAGATTTTGCTTGTCAATGCTTGAAGAAACTAGTCTTCCTCATGATCCAGAGTTTAAGTCTATGCATAATATCATCCACATAGATGAAAAGTGGTTCTACATGACCAAAAAATCGGCAAACTACTACCTTCTTGAAAATGAGGATGAGCCATATCGCACATGCAAAAATAAAAATTTTATTGGCAAGGTCATGTTTTTAGTAGCAGTTGCTAGGCCTAGATTTGATGACGATGATAAAGAGATATTTTCAGGAAAAATTGGCGTATTTCCTCTGGTTCAGAAAGTAGCAGCAAAAAGGTCAAGTGTCAATAGAGCTTCGGGTACACTTGAAACTAAGCCAATTACTTCTATCACTAAAGAAGTTAGTCGAAATTTTCTAATTAATAAAGTGTTACCTGCAATTAAAGAAAAATGGCCCAGAGAACATGCAATGGAAACAATTTATATACAACAAGATAATGCTCCATGTCATGTTTCTATTGACGACGAAGAATTTTGTAAAGCAGCTTCTGAAGGTGGATTTGACATTCGTTTATCTTGTCAACCACCAAATTCTCCTGATTTAAATGTCTTAGATCTGGGTTTTTTTAATGCCATTCAGTCATTACAACATAAGGAAGCTTCAAAATCGGTTGATGAGCTCATTGAAGTTGTGCAAAAGTCATATGATAATTTTTCTAGCAAACAATCTGACAAAATTTTTCTCACACTCCAATCTTGTATGATTGAAATCATGAAAGTTAAAGGAACTAATAATTACCGAATTCCCCATATGAAGAAAGATGTGATGCTTACTCGAGGTATACTACCTAGTCAACTAAAATGTGACCGAGAGTTAGTTGAAAATACTTTTAACTATTTAAGCAATGATAATTAAGGTATGAACTTGTTGGTTTATATAATCATATTTTCTATAAATTTTTCAATAAAATAGTGTATGCTAATTTTTGTCAAATTTAATTTATTCATTTTTCAGGAGGTTGGTCAAATAGATCATGGAATTTGCATGGAGAAGGAAATATCAAGAATGCAAATTGCAGTAGACTTTTTCTTCTTTTTAAGATGCTTATTAACTTATGCATGCAAGTTTCTTACCAGTATTGTACGTTACAATTTTAGTTATGCAAATTGCTTATTCCACTATTATAGTTATGCATATTATTTACACTATTCCATATTACTCGTACTGTACGTTACAAAATAAAATGGACAATGAAAGCATAATAGTAGAAAATGATTAGAAAAAGAAAACCAAATAAGAAACATAATGATAAAAAAACCAGAAACATTAAACCTCACAAAAATCCAAATAAGAACACCTAGTTCAAATAATCTAAATAAATTTTTATCATGTCTTTAACCTCTTCTTGCTTGACACCGAAGTCCAATGCCGGTAATTTGTTCAGATCAAAATCACTCATATCTAGTAATTCAACAATGGTGCTTTCATTTGTTGGAGTTAGAGCATCTTCACTTTCATTCTTTGGAGTGAGATTTTCTGCACTTTCATTTGTTGGAGTTAGAGCATCTTCACTTTCATTTTTTGGAGTGAGATTTTCTGCACTTTCATTTGTTGGAGTTAGAACTACTTCAGGAACTTTGTTCAAATCCAGAGAGTCTTCAACAATGAGATTTGATAAATTCTCAGAGTCTTCAATGCCTAAATCAAAAGATGGAAATTCATTAGCTATTTGATGTGGGTTTGCCATGTTTAGAGTATAAAAAAAATAGAAGAACAAGACTCATGGTAGACAAAATACTGGATATGAAACATTTATAATAGGATATGGCATTTCAAAAGGCAATGGTAACAAAAGCAACGTAAAAGTAAAAATAAATACTCATTTGGAAACTATAAAAAGTGAAGTTATTAGAAGAATATTTTTGTTTTTGGAAAACTACATTATGAGGGTAAAATTGGAATGAAGAATTTAATTATATCAATGGTAATTAATTTTTGCTTATAATTGAGACTAGTAAATTTTTTTTTGTTGCTTACATATAAGACCGGAGGGAGTATTACTTTATTCTTTAATTTAAAATTATTAATTGTTAATTTTATTTTTTAAAATATTTAAGAATTTCTTCATGTGTTAATTAATGCATAATTATTTGTTTATTCTAAATAGGCTGACAAAATAATATGTACTACATATTCATCTGGATCTGTTTTAATTTTATAGCGGAAAATTTCACTTTAAAATGATATGTACGAAAAACAAAAATAAAATGATAATGAGAACTCTAATAACTTCTATAAATCTGTCTCTAAATCCATCTCGTTTATAATTTGTTATTTAGGTTTGATGTTTTAGAAATTTAATTGTGACAATTTAAAATATTAGTTACATAATTAATGTTTTATCATTTAAAATGATGTTTGAAATTTTTTTGAAATTTTTATTTTTAGAAATTGATTTCATTGTAAGGGTGGAATTGAGATATTTGAATCTGCTTAAGACGGGTTTAAAATGTAAGGGTGGAATACAATTAGGTGAAAGCTTATTTAGTGCATCTGAAGTTTTTTGAGATGGATTGAAATGTTGTAATTTGATTTTTATATAATATTTTTAATTTGCAAATTTGTCTTTATAAAATTTCAAATTTTCGAAAATTATTTTCTATAAATTTTATTTTATTTTAATTGATCACTATTATATTTCAAATATTAGAAAATGGTCCTTAAAATTTAATATTTTGAATATTGGTTCTCACTTTTATATTTTGAAATTGATTCCTCAACTTTTGAAATTTTATAAAAATAGGTTAACAAATTCTTTGGAGTGGGTTCAAACCGAGGATCTCAAGTTAAATTAGAAGAGAATTTTGTCATATTTTTTAAATATTCTCGAATATGTTAAATGTGTAATTTTTTGTGTCAAAATAGGTTGTTGTTCGAACACAAGATGTGTCGAAGTGTTGTAAGCAAGTTGCTACACATAAATTTGATTTAGATTTGATTTAAGTCTAAAATAAGTATTTTGAGCTTTTATAGTTTTGACATTTTTGGCTTAGAGAGAAAGCAAGCTCAATTATAAATAGAGAGAGTAACCTCTATTTTGCAATTCATTCATTCACAGTATTTGCAGTTGCAAGTGAATAAAAGGTTTTCCACAGTTTGTGGGCAGAGAGAAACTCTCAAGAAACCATTATTATTTTCTTCTTGAAATTTCTTTTCTTTTCATCGTTATTGTGTGAGTGATAACAATCTTGTTCATCAAGATTGATAGAAATTCATCATAGAGGTGGTGGATTTCCAATATCTGATATCAGAGCTCCGATTGAGCGATCAAGGGAAGAAGAAGAAGAAGAAATCATGATGGTGGTGAATTATGGGAATAGGAATTATCCAGCAAGTCTTCCAATTCTGAAAGTAGATAACTATGAGAATTGTGCAAACAGATGAAGGTTATATTCAGGTGTTAAGGTCTTTGGAATCTTGTAAACGATGGATTAAAAGCGCTTGGAGAAGACGCTTCAGAAGAAGAAAAGAAAGAACACATATAATCAGAGAAGAAGAGTTATAAAGCACTCTTTATAATTCATCAATGTCTGAGTCCAAATTTTTTTAAAAAAGTGAGTGATTCAGAATCTGCAAAAGAAGCTTGGGAGATCTTTGAGAAGTCTTTTAGAGGTGCAGACAAGGTGAAGTTACAAACTCACAAAAGAACGTATGAATTTCTTCAGATGGAAGATAGCGAGAGCATATCTGATTTCTTCACTAGGGTTACGAAACTAGTGAACCAAATCAAGGTATGTGGAGAAGCATTAACAACGAGTTTTTGTTTCAAAGATCTTGAGGTCTTTGGCTCTTAAGTTTGGCCACATGGTTGTATCTATAGAAGAATCGAAGGATTTGTCGAATTTAACAAAAGAAAAGCTTCAAGGAACGCTTGAATCTCATGAACAACGAATGACTGAAAGAGTTACCGACAAGTCGAAGAGTGATGTGGCTTTGTAGGAATAATCAACAAAAGAAATTAAAGACAAAGGAAAGTGATTTAACAAAGGAATAGGTGACTGCAACAATTCGATTGGAAAAGGAGACCGGCAGGAAGGAATTGTGTCAAATCAAAGGCCCCATTATCAAGGCAACCAAAGAGGTGGTGTTGGAGGTAGAGAAAGAGGTGGTGGTCGAAAGCCTGATAAGAGTCACATTCAGTGTTACAATTGTCAGAAGTATGGTCACTATTTTAGTGATTGTCCAGAAAAGAGAAAGAATCAAGAAAGTGATGCAAAGTTTGTAAAACATGAAGAATAATATATTGATGGTCACAATAAAAGATGAAGATAGATTCAAGGACCAGTGGTACTTGGATTCAGAATGCTCATCACACATGACTGGAATGAAAGATTGGTTTGTCAACATAAAACCCTCGATGAAGAACATGGTGAAATTCGTAGATGACAATACCCTAGCAGCTGAAGATATTAGTGATGTTATGATTATGAAGAAATATGGAAAGAGCCCAGTAATTTCCAATGTGTTGTACATATCAGGCATGAAGAACTATTTTCTCAGAATAGGACAGTTGGTCAAAAATAACTATAAAGTGTCTATCAAAGACAAGATGATAAGAGTTGTCGACGCAAATGAAAGGTTAATCTTGAAGGCTCCAATGTCTCAAAATAGAACTTCAAGATTGAACTAAATGTGATGGAGCACAAGTGCCTTTCGACTGCAACTAGAAGACATGAGTGGATATGGCATTATTGACTAGGCTATCTCAACTTCAAAGATATCAGAGATTCAAAGAGAAGAAATATGGTTTCAGTATTACCAGAAATCAACATTCCAAACAAGGTGTGTGAGGAATATGTGCAGGCGAAACAACATAAGAATAACTTCAGCAAGGGTGCATGAAGCAAGTCGAAGGTTATTCTTGAAATCATATACTCTAATGTATGTGGACCAATCCAGGTGGATTTGAATGGAGGTAACAAATATTATTACATTCATAGATGATTTCAGTCGAAAACTATGGACTTATCTGATCAAGAAGAAAAGCGAAGTGATCGAGGTATTTTCCAAGTTTGAATCTATGATCAAAAGACGAAGTCATCGAAAGCTCAAAGTTTTGAGAACTGATGGGGTGGAGAGTATGTGTTGAAATACTTTGATACATTATGTGAGAAAGAAGGGATTATGCATGAGGTGGTGCCACCATACACTCCACATCAGAATGGAGTTGCAGAAAGAAAAAATCGAACCATCATGAATATGGTGAGAAGTATGTTGAAAGGAAAGCATTTACCTAAATATTTTTGGGGAGAATATGTATCGACAACAACATACATTTTGAACAGATGTTCGATGAAGAAGCTAGAAGGAATTACTCCATAAGAATGTTGGTCTGGTGTGAAACCTAGCTTGAGTCATTTGAAGGTATTTTGATCTATTGCACATAGACATGTGCCAGATAAATTGAGGAAAACTTGATGACAAGTCGATCCAGATGATCCTAGTTAGATATCATTCGATAGGAGGTCACAAGTTGTTCGACGCAGTGAACAATCAGATTATGATCAACATGGACGTGATTATAGATGAGCTTAAGGAATGGAATTGGACTGAAAATATCAAGAAGCATTCAGTGAGAATCTTACTTGAAGAACCAAAAACTCAAGTTGAAAGAGAAGTTCGACAAGAGGAAGTTGTAGATCAACCAGGTACAAGCAGACCTTAGAGAAGAAGACACATGCCTGCAAGTTTGCAAGATTATGTGATTACATTAGATGATATGGTCAATGATGAAGGTGAGCTGGTATATTGTGCTTTCTATGCAGATGTAGAACATGTAAATGCAACTGAAGCATTGTGTTTTACCCCACAATCTACCCTCTTGTTTTAGGCTTTTGTTTCATCATAATCATCATATGGCATTTCATTAATTCATTGTGATGAGATCAAAGTATTTGGTTCTCAAGTCTTCTTCAAGTTTTAGAAGTTGATTGTATTGACAATTTGCTCAATGAGAGGCTCATTCTCTGGATATTTCAAGTCCTGAGGATCTCTCATGTCTCAAGACATCTCACTTGTCTCATTGGTTTATCAAGAGTTTAAGTTTTGCAAAGATTTGAAAAGAGATTCATCTGTCTCCTTCATCTGATGAGATTAGGATTTTGAACCATTGTGTGACTTGAAGCCTGTCCAAGCTAATTTATTGAAACATCATTGTCTTATTATCATTTGAGGCAACTTTATTCAAATAATTGCTCAGGAAGGTCTAGTGGAATTAGGGTTTTGAAGCTTGAGCATCCTCCTCCTAGACAGATGACCAAGTTAGGGTTTTGGATTTAATCAGGAATTCTTCATTTTTTATTCAAATTCGATTCCATGTGTTTCTATATGATATTGAGCATCTATGATTGGAATATTGTCCATTAATTTGAATTGGAAGAGGTTCAATTGATCACAGGGGGCAAAATAGTCATTTTGACCAAAAGTCAACCAAAGTCAAAGTTGACCAAGTGGACTTTTGGTCAACCATCAATTCAAATATCCTATTTCCATATTTCATGATCATTGGTGTCATAGGATCAAGAGAAGAGGTCAAATTGGAGATAACTTGTTCAAGAAGTCATTTGGATACTTAGAATTTTTTCGAAGTTCTGAAGTTCCTATCGTACTGAACTTGGACATCTGTAACTTTCTCATTTTTTATCCAATGAAGGAAAACCATACATATCCAGAAAGCTCTTGAAAAAT